GATATAATGATTGAAATCCATACTTTTCGTAGATTCCCTTCGCTAGAGGCACAGCCTCCAAAAACGCCAACTTTCTTTCCTCGTCTGCCCTCTCGACGCCCCATCTCAGAAGTGGACTGGCTGCGCCTTTCCCCTGGTGCTCTGTCCGGCAAATGATAAGCTCAAGGTACCAGTGTCTGGTTTCGCCCATAATCTCAGCGTGCTTCCTGCCAATGGAGCCAAAGAAGTGGTTCGCAAACTCTGGATTTCCTTCTTTCGGCCAGACGTCTGCTGGAGGCGGCGGCTCGACGTTTGTCTCATTGGGTCCTGCTGGGCGAACCCACTTTGCGCAAGCGATGGGTAGGTCGGGGTCCTCGTAGTCTGGATCAGTGATGATGAGCCACTGAGATCGAGGTTCGCTTATCTCTTCCGCAAAAGATTTGGCGAGGAAGTCGCGGACTTGCGTGGTTGCAGGGAAGCATGTTATGGAAACCGGGTTGTCATGAAAGGCGGAGAGGTAGATGGATGCGAGGGCCGGGCCGTCTGCTGGGATGGCGGTGCGAAGTTTGACGGGCATGTTGGGAAGGGTTGAATGGCAGTTGCTGGTTGTGAACTGCTTCTCTAGTCGGAAATCCTTGCGATTCACTGTGCAGGCGTTTTCTACTCATCAACAACCTCAATGGCTTTTAGTTGTAGAGAGAGAAAGCCAGTCTTTGTGTCTCCTCCTCTTTGACTTTACGCACAGTTGTTGAAAGGAGCGGCGCAATCAATTGCCTCTTTGAGTATCGCGCTGGCGGGTTGGATGACCGTTTCTGTGGCTATACTTTTGCTTCATGAGGAGAGCATGGGTACTTGCATAACTTTGTCTTATGTCTTTCATAATCACTCCATCAATTCCCTACTCACTAAAAAGACTTAGCAAGTGCGGGGGCTACGTCCTGCCTGCAACTCTCATGCACAACCACAACAAAAGCAAAAGGGATATCTTCACGACAGAGATGAGATTTGAACTCATGCGGCCGAAGCCATATGATTGCGAGTTTAATTCGAGTCATACCCATTAACCACTCTGGCACTCTGCCCATGTCAGATGCAGGGATGAAAGAAAGCGTGGGTTAAGTTGCCTCCTGGGTGGTGTGGTGGAGGTTGCGGAGAAGTCGGCAATCCTCGGGGTGGGGTGACAACTTGGGGGCACCCAGACGTGAAACGGCATTGCCTGATGAGGACTTCCAGCACTATATATGTTGATTCGGACTGAAGTTGACGGCCCTAAGTTTTTAGTGGTGACCTACGGCTTGTGAAGCAAAAGTGTGAATTTCAAGGAAGCTCCCGACGTAACTGCCATGAGGACAACGCTCTTTCTGCTTTTGTTATGTAAGACAAGGCACCGCTCTTTTGTTACTTACATGAGCCTGAAAGATAAAACCTTTGACCTGGGTTAACACAAGGGTAGATGAGGGGTTGTGCCTTGCCGGACTTCCACCCCGGCCTCTTGACTTCGGAAGGAACAGTCGGGCCCCGATTACGGGCAAGCCTGCTCCCGACAGAAATATCTTATTGCTCCATAATTGTGGTCACCATCACCTACTGTACATAAACTCAAAGAAACAGCTTTCACATTAAATACCACTCGCATGCAAGCTCTCCCAAACTAATGCAAACACAACCCGAGTAGTTCCACGCCTGCCTCAAAGGGTATGGACTAGTGGGTCGTTAGTTGCGGGAGGTTCGGAACACTAAATCCAAGCTTAAAAGCGATGTACTGATCGGCTTGATCGGCCTAAAAGCCCTAAGCACGACATCGGTACGAACCGCGCTGCGATTACTAGCATCCCACCGGGACTGATATATCCCGGAGCTGGTCCCGGTCACCTCAGAGCTATGCTTTTTAAAGTGTTGTTCATCCCTTCTCTTGCGTGGGCGTATTCAATGCTTCAACGTTGCAATCTTTAGATAGGCGAGTTGTAATGGAAAACTGGAGGAAAAATGCCCCGGCATACCAAGCGGACGGTTACATGGCCTCTGAATGGTATCATTGCCATCTGCAGCACTCTGTCTTGGCGAGCTCACGCAGCCTATGAGACGCCGGGCGATGCGGAGTAGCAGAGATGGCCCGACGGATAGTAGAGGCATAGGCGCAACCGAAAAGAAGAACTTTAGCATTGCAGCGATGAATAACCTTGGTGACGTTGACCAATAGTGCCAAGAATTTGCGACATCCTTCCGACCTGCCTATTCCATATCGAAGGACCAGGCTCATCAATTGTCCGTCTTACAACATCCATCGCCAGAGAGGGGTCCACGTTCAGTGCCTGAGGACCGAACCCCTAAGCGATGGTCTTATTCGAACGGTATTTTCGTCATGGCTTGGCTTATGCAGATCGTGCAGAATACTGGCCGATGAGTGAGCGAGCGAAATGAAGTATTCTGCAGCTACCTAGCCGTGAAATTCATTTCCTGGGACTTTTGTGACATCCAAGTAACATGGCGTCGCTTGGCTGGGAAGATGGAAGGACGGACCACATTCTCGGTGCTATAAATGCTGACGACAGGCCTTCCACTTGCGGAATAAACTTCTCACCCCGGACCACATCTGGCATTCAATCTCTGCGGCGGAAGTTTCCCCTCCAGTTGTGTTGGTAGAGAATCAGTCGCCAACATGAAGTCCAACGCGCTACTTGTCGCCATTGGCGCCTTCTCTGGCGTCTCCATTGCCAGAGAGCTGGAGCCCAGCGCCGAGCTGTCAGCCTGGTATGATACCGGCGCGGCTCATCAAGAGAGCATGGAGCACAAGATCGTAGGTCTGAACTTAGTCTCCAAGCAGCATCAAGTCTGACAGAACCAGGCCCAATGGGAACAAGCCGAGGCCGAAGGAAAGTTCGATTCGACTCAGTGGACGGGTCGCGTCAAAGACTATCTCGCATGCAAGGATGGCAAGGTAGAGCTCGTCAAGGGCGACCCTCTTCAGACGTTCCGATGCAAGGATGTAAGTTGATGGTTGAAAATGGGATCGACCTCGTCGTCCTAGGAGCCAGAGAGTTTCGCTCACAAATGACAGCTCGACCTCTATGACTTTCAACCTCACGCAGCGTTTGGCAACTCAACCGGTAGAGGTTCCGGGTCGTGGGGATGGACGGCACCAAACGGCCGGGAGTTCTCTGCCATTGGACAGCTCGATGGCACCGCTTTTGCCGAAGTCTCGAAGCAGGGCAAACTGATATATCTCGGAAAATTACCGTACTTCTCCGAGCCAAGCAGATGGCGTGAGATCAAAGCTTACAAGAACTATCTCGTCGTCGGTAGCGAGGCGCCTGGTCATGGAATCCAATTCTTTGACTTGCGCAAGGTATGTCAGACCTGCGGGGAATTTTTCGTGTCAAGCATATGTATAGGTGAGCTACGGACTAATACCGCTTCAGCTTCTCGACATTGACCCCAAGAACCCCGTTGTCTTCTCCAATGAGAAGGATTTGACGGCTCATTGGACCGAAGCTTTACCCCTTGGTCGCAGCCACAACGTCGTTGTCAACGAGGAAAAGGGATATGCCGTTGCCGTCGGCGCTCAGCCTCGTCGCAATCTTCCCTGCGACTCTGGCCTGCAGTTCCTCGATCTCGCCGACATCAACAACCCTCTCTACCTGGGTTGCGCGGCTGGCGATGGCTATGTTCATGACGCGCAGTGCATCGTGTACCGTGGACCTGATGTCAAGTACTGGGGCCGCGACATCTGCTATGGCTACAACGAAGATACCTTGACCATGTGAGTCCTTTGACGCCGACTTGTTTTACGCTCTTTTCTGACAAGCTCTCAAGCTACGATGTGACCGAGAAGAACAGCACCAACATCATCTCTCGTACAACTTACGAGGGTGCGACCTACACTCACCAGGGCTGGGTTATTGACCCCAACTGGCAGGACTTCTTGGTTTTGGACGACGAGATTGACGAGAGGAACAAGACTGGCCCGGCGGCTGACGGTTTCCCTGTGACCTACTTCTGGGACATCAGATCCCTTGAGAAACCCAAGAACTCTGGCATTTTCAAGGGTACTATGCGGAGTGTCGACCACAACCAATTCATCCACCGCGGTCTGGCGTACCAGAGCAACTATGGTGCTGGGCTTCGTATCCTGGACATCTCATCCATTCGATGGGATCCCACAGCCAAGAACGTCAAGGAGATTGCCTACTTTGATATCTTCCCAGAAGATGATAATGAGCCTGGCGGTGGAGCAAACAACTACACTGGTACTTGGAGCCATTATCCGTACTTCAAAAGTGGCTACATTGTCATCAACACTATTGAACGTGGCGTTTGGGTTGTGAAACGATCCAACCCCTGGTGGTGGCCGTGGTAAGGGGCAGACTCCACGTCTATCGAGATATGGCCAACAGGCATCTCGCCGAAGGAGCAAATAATTTTCTTGTACATAGTATAAACTGCAGGATCTTATCAGAATCGCGGATTCTTCAAGATGGATTCTAGCTCTACTCAGCGCTGCATTTCCGAAATGCGCCAGTCGAAGGTCTGATAAGTGAACGTGCCATTCAATGGTAATCGTCCAAACAATCAACCAGGTTACAAGCGCGATGGTCTGTTCGCCTCACCAACTCACACTTCAGTCTCACTGATTGGGTGGTGTAATCTGGAGAACCGCTGCTCAGGGATTCAATGGCTGACGCTCAATCGGGGCAGAAACTCCACCAAGCATTACGTCGGTCCACACAGGCCATGCATGCAGGCCAAGACTGCTGAGGCAGAATATCCGGGAACGACGTGCCGTCTACTTGGCGTAACGCGGCACTGCCTTGACTCCCGACATCATACTCTTTCGAAGGGGGCAAATGGTTCTACCAAGAGCAAACGCCGAGGACGCGTGGACGTCGATTTGAATTGAGTTAATACCTGCATTGCCGAGTCCCGGATTAAGCTTCTTTCATTTCACATTCATCCACACTTTGTTTTTGCCTTTCTGTCTCTAGCCTCTAGACCTGCTTTTAGCGTTTGAACTTTGGGCACGAATGCCTCGTTCCCAGACTCGAAGAGAGGATGCCGCCCAACAGATCAAGGACCATGACAACTTGAGTGGGCAGGTAGATGGCGAACTTACCCAAAGCGATGGTTGGCATCATGGCCTGTGCGGATGCTGTGCATCCTGCGAGCTTTGCCTCCTGAGCACCTTCGTGCCATGTCTTCGTATGCCACCCTCTGATCGTGGCGGTCATTGTTTTACTGACAGATCTCTAAAGTGCTTGGACAGACCTCCCATCGAATCAAGGAGCCTTCAATGAAGAATTACAGACATATCAACCGCGATTGCCTTTTGATGATGGGAGTCACATATCTTACAGGCTTTGGTTGGATGTAAGTCGGCTGAGTCACGACTTGACGACTTTCCACCTACCAGTTACTAACAATGCATTCCAGGTATGTCATGAAGAAGCGCTTTGAGATTCGCAAGCGCTATGGCATCAAAGGTACCGATGCGAGAGACTGCTGCGCATCCTACTGGTGTCTTTCATCTGCTTTGGTTCAGCATGAGAGAGAAGTCCTTACCCGGCAGGCTGGCAGGAGTGATCCCATCACTGAGGGTTATCAGACTCAACCAGCCATGGAATTGCCTTCTAGATATACGCAGCCGACTACATAGAGTTTGAATGGGATTGTATTTCTCTGGGGCCAATATACTCCTCGTGATTTGGAGGTGCTTGTGGGTTTGGCTTCAGCTGGCATCGGCACATATTGACGTGTGTGGGTAAGCGTGGAAAACTGGAGGTATCCCGGTCCCAGCGACAATAACTTGCAGATTGGAAGTGTCAGTTTCCATCACAATTCAACTGGTAAGTATATTGTGTCGTATTCTGTCTCATGTGCTGTCTTTAAGTCGTTGTCGGGATCGACTGATAACTTGATGACTGGGGTAAACTCCAAACGCCACATAATATAACTACCAAAGATTGACATATCTCAGCCCAGGTGTTTAACCAATATATATCTTACGGAATCTACAGAGATTCTTTCAGGATTTGTTGCAATGTTTAACTGCTGGACCCGATGGAGTGATGAATAACAATTTCTTCCAACCCACGTCCCGAAAAGCTAGTCAAGCGATAGCACTGGATCACATCCATCAACTCACTTGACCTTATCGAGACCGACAAGAAGAACCGATCGGGATCTCTTCCCAGCACATAAATCAGTTGTCGTCGTTCTCGGTGGCGCCGGAATGATGGCGGTGATACTTTGAGTCAATGACCTAGTTCAGCCCCATACTTATATCAGGGAGTGGGTGGTCAAGGCACTTTAAACAAAGTTAATTCTGCTCCTTCATATAAAAAACGCGCTGAGAGTGCCGATCAGTCTTCAACTACACGCTGAGTAAGGAGATCTACAGCATTTTTGATGACGGCCTCGAGTCAACACTAACAAAGTCCGATCTCTCCGTAGATATTGTAATAGACTCACCTAATGCGATTCGGTTTCTTGATTGCACAATGCGATCGAGTACATAGTCCAAGGAGTGCCCGGCCGTAAAGACGATGCTTTGGTGATTCAAGACATTAAGCTTGATTCAGCTATACACTCATTTGTTCTTGTCCATTTTCGAGCTGTTGCTATCGACAATGGCGGCTCGTCTGTTCTTTTCCTTCGGGCTTCTGAGCACCGCTGTGCTTGGCTCCCCTCCGGAAACCGCCATCGCAGCCCGCGCTTTTGACTGCTCTCCGGGATCGGAAACAGGACTTAAGCCCGAGTGCTGGGCTCAGTTGAACGTGTCAGACTACATCACCAAATGGCTGGCTGAGAACGGCACCAAGGCCGACTGCGACAACCTGGGATTCGCCCAGTGTTTCTTGGCTTTCAACGGCTACGGTGGTCGAACTTGCGATACCCTCACTCGCGATACGTGTGCAGCCTTTGAAACTGCCGGTGTCGACGCCGCCTACTCTTCGCCCCAACAATTCTACACTCTTTGGAACATCTACGCCATTTCTCAGTTTTTCAATCAGTTCTCGGAGGCTCTTTGGAATGGCCACACCCTCGCTGCGGATACGATCGGGGACATCGTTGCCACCGTATCCCCATCTACCGACCCTGAAGTTCCAAGCAACCTATTGTGGACTTCGATCTCTGGCGGATTCTGGATGGCCGCTGTTGGTGCCTTTGCCAATCCCCTCCTGGCTGGAGTCGCCACGGGCATGGCTGTTGTCACAGGAATGAGCTCTTTCTTCATGTCCTCAGTGGCAGGCTCTTCCAACTCGCGATTCATCACTCTCGGTGAGATCGGGAGCAGCCTTGCTCAGCTTATCATTGACTACCAAGGTAGCCTCGAAGGCGCCTTGAAGGAGCTTCAGGGCAACAGCACCCTGTTCCTGGCCGCAACGGAGCCTGGTGGCTTCAGCCAGCGTGCTGTGGCCAGCTTGAATCTCCAATCCACCGAGCTCTACCACGATCTGCAACTCTATATCCTTTCTCTATCTCTCAAGGCCAACGGCATTGTTTCCACTCGCTCGACCGGCGTCAATGCCCTCAACTACGCACCCGACACCAACGGCGCCGTCTCATGCCCTGGTCTTGGTCCCGCGGGTAATTGCTACCAATTCTGGATCGACCCGGATACGGGCGACTCGTACGCGCTGCACAACCCGAAGGACTGGAAGAACGACTATGTCGATGTGCTCAACAAGATCCATGACAAGAACTGGGCGAACCTCAGTGAGATTTTTAAGGTGGAGGATTGCCAGGGCAAAGATCCGAGCTTTGACGGAAAAACGAAAGTGACTTGCCTGGCGTCGCACGGATTTTGCGAGTGGGATTACGTTGATCAAGACACCGTCACCAAGTCCAGGACGGCTAACAAGCAGTTCACCAATTGTGACAACGACAAATCGTGGGGCACTCTTTGTGACTGGATGAACGGTGGTCTTGTGATGCCCGAGGCCTATCTCGGACCTCTCTTCAAGTTCCAGGAGCCTGCGTGGTGCAGAGAGCACTAGCTTTTCGAGGCTTAGCTTCTGAATTTGTACATAATACCCGTGTAATCATAGAGTATCATCTTCGAATGCAATGAGGTTCGATTATAGCAACATCAAATCGCGTGTTAGTTCTGATGTCAAGTGCATTTGTCTTTCATCCCTAAACATGCCGTCGTGTGCAACTACCTGAAGAGAAGAATGTGTCATTCATTTGCTCCTCAATTGCAAAATGGTGATGTCTATATAGTAAAATCATCTCAAGACTGCCACAATCACTGAATGATCTCGAGTCCGGTGGAGCACGTGCTGAAGGGATGCAATGATCGCCACGAGCCAGCAGGTGAACGTGGGGGATCGTGTGACATGGACAGGGCTAGCGGAATTGCCGGCATGCAGATCAGAGATTTCGCTTTCGGATTGCGGGATCTCGCATGTAGTCAATCTTGGTGTCAGCACCAGGCGGATATAACACTCGACGCATCCGATTTCGATCACCTATATCGAAACCAGGATATAAGGTTGAGTACATCCTGACTCCCGCATCTGATGTTGCCGCACACACTGCAGCTTTGGTCAATTGTAAGACTCAGGCTACTAAATCTAGATGCCACGCGGAAAAGAATTACAGCCTACCTTCACTGAAGTCGAAGGGAGCGTCATAGTGATGGACATCATCAATCAACAAGATGACCTATCGACTTCGTGAGATATATCTGATGTACCTGGAGTATGTCATATTACCTTCCAACGTTCCTCATCTTGAGCCACTTGAAGTTGATTAAAGGACATGTGCTTTGCCTCAAAGATGAATATGAAGTTCTGTATCTGCGTGTCCTGTGACTCTGTTGAATTCCTGCATAAAATACTTCTAACAGTTTTGTCCGTCCATGAACCCCTTGCCTACGTCTAACCCGTCCAGATCCGGAACTCAGACAGACTCATGGCATGTCGATTCGGTCTCTACAGACCATAGCTATGTGTATCAAAAGCTACTACCTTTCCAGGCTCCGTGATCGACCCATTGAGCGGCGCTGCAAGAGACCCTCCAGTAACAACATACAAGATCCCCTTGTCCTTGACGTTCCGTCCGAATGCAGTGGCGGTTCCTCCAGCGACAGTCAGTTCCGTCTCTGAGCCGGCCACGACGGTGCCCTTGCCCTCGGGGGTGATGTAAACAAGCTTATCATCAATGTTGGTCACTGCCCAGATACCGCCCTTTTTATCGAAAGCAAAGTCATCGAGAAATGCAGCGATGGTGCTCACATCGGCAATCTGGTCGATAGTGGCCTTCGCCGCAACTCTACCCGAGCGATCGAGCTTGACCCGGAAGACCTTTCTAAAGGAGCTGTGGCTCCAGTACAGATAGTCTCCGCGGATTCGCACACCGTTGACTCCAATGGCCGGCACCGCTCCGGCTGCAGGCTCGAGATCTTGACCGCCTAGGATGGTCTCGTATTTCTTGGCTTTGACATCGAGTCTGTACACTTTGCCCAGCGCAGACTCGGCAACGAGAACAATGTTGCTATCCCACGGCAGAGAGACTACGCCATTCAAGAACGCCGCCTCTGGCACGTTGACAATCTTGTTCACCGTCGTCTTCTTGTCTGCGATGCTGACCTCCCACGCTGAAAAAGTACCGGGAACGCTGACACCGATGCCTGAGAAGTTACCGCCAACTACCACGAATGTGTCGGGGCAGGTCTCAGTGATGCCGAGAAGGCCATTTAGGTCTGAGAACCGGTGGACAAGCTCTGCTGATGGTGACTTCTCCCACGGTTTGGCGACTTGGTAAAGCTCGGGAGAGGTAAGAAGAGGTAGGAGGAGGTTGCCATTTTTGCGGACGGCGATGTTTTCGATCCAGTTGGGCTTTTCTGGGAATTGGTAGGCAATACGTGAGGGCAGGCTCTGGCCTACGGCTAGAGCAATGTAAAGAATTGACGACGCAATTAAGCCCCGCATATTTGCTGTGGTTTTGACGGGTATCTCTTTGAAGGCGATGTACCACGAAGTCTCAATGGGAAAGAGTGAACGAGGTCTTGGTATGGTGATTGATACGGGATTCATACAGTTAAATATGATGATCAACCTTGCAGATTCTTTCTCAGGCTAATTAAATGGATGCGCTGGCTTACCAACTTCCTGCATCTTACACAGGGTTCTCATTAGCTCCGGAGTTGTCGTCTTACTGAGATCGTGCAGGCGGAACACCGCTTTACATGGTGTCTATGTCCGACGTGGCCCATAAAGATCTCCCCATAACGAAGCCAAGAGGTGCAGTAGCATGCACAAGCGATTGGTGATCGTTCATGTCTAGCCCGCAGAAGTTGTCGGCTAGAAGAATAGCGCAATCGCTTAGGAAGCTGACGTTGGAGTAAGGATTCAGCTGGGATCTTGGGTGCATGTTGGAACAAGCACCAGTGCATAAGCCAAGCACTAGGCCCATGGATAGATAAATCCGCGGAAATATTACCAATCGGTAACATTAATGATCAGATCCGATGACATTGAAGTAGTGAGAGTCCCAGATGTGCTAAAAGTTACTTAACCTTATAGCTTGGTGAGTTCCACGGAGAAGCTATAGCTGTGACTGTAGCTGTAGCTTGTGTTTGGTTCTCCACGACCATCAGTCCTCCCTGTTTCCTTGCTCCTAGTACCCGCAAACGAGCACTGACTGTCC